TTATTACTTTCTCTGGGCTCACTGCAGTGTGATGGGGTTGTACCGTCACCACCCATGACAAGGAAAATTGCCTTGTCTTGGATTTGGGCTGCACTGGAACAAATGGCTGGCACAGCCCGAATGCAGCTGTAAACTGGCCCAGAGGGCTTGTTTCCACCAGACCGTGCGCTCATTGCACTGTCCGGTGCCCGAAACGCAAGGGATCGCATACACAAAGTCTCCTTGTGTTCTGGGGTGGCAGGGGGGTCGGCATTGCCATTCATGTCAATGGCACAGCAGACACTCCCGTCCGCATTGTGATCGGCCACACAGGACCACGTGGTAAAACAATGCCCTGCGTTCCAGTACATGCACTGGAACGCAGGGCATTGTATTGCTACGCGGTCCTGTGCAGCCAATCGCACTGCAGGCGGGGGGAATGTCTCCATTGACATGAATGGCACTGCCACGCCCCCTCCTGCCCCAGAATGCAAGACTTTGTGTATGCGATCCCTTGGGTTCCGGGCACCGGACAGTGCGATGAGCGCACGGGCTGGTGGAAACGAGCCCTAAAACAGAATTTACAAAAAATATCTAATTTTGATCATTTTGAAGTGACTGAAGCAGCAATCCGTCTGCAGATCATCAGGGAGCCGTGGTATGGTGACTGATACACCGGCTTTGCTATGCTTTTTTTTAAATATATGAAAACATGGTCCTTTCTACTTGTTACCTGATGTGACCTATGCAACCAAATGCGATGGGCAAAGTGGTGTGTAGGAGTAAATTACGGGCTCGCTAAACTACTTTTATTTCTCAAGGCAAAACAGACAGAGCGTGCGGCAAACTGTGGTGATCAATTCCCTATGATTTCATTTTAAGAGTGGATGAGTTTCACAAATGAACTGTAAAGCGGCACTTAAGTCAAGAAAAACATGTCTAATTGCAGCCGCTACTTAAGATGGCATTAAAAGCTTTGCTAAAACTGGATTTTCTTTCAAACAAAAATACCGGAGGGGGAAAAAAAAAAAAAATGATATTCCATATAGAAACAGTAATGCTCCCAGACTTCCTTCTGGATGCTCCCGTTTCAGATCACTTATTTAACCTGGCTCTCCTCTTGTTTTATCTGGTCGTGAATATTCCATCTCTTGTGGAAAATTATTTTTTTGTCTGCGGGCTTAACTGTAATTAAAGACCCCGCATTATTTTCTTTAGTAAACAAAACGTTATTGGTTGTGATGTTTATGGTGAATGTTTAATATAGATCACTTGTTACTAGACTGCATGCTGACACTCTGCCATAAGACATCTTCTATACAAACAGATGTTACAAAGTGCACAAAGAAAGCACTGTCCACCGTCCATCAATCTAAACTACACACGGTGCAGAGAATCTCATCCTGTGGACAGGAGCAACACATGGACAGTACTGGGCATTGTGGGTATGTACATGCACATGTGCTCACTCAATACTATGTAAGCTGCAGTTTGTTTTCTTCTACTTTTCTCAAAAGAGAGCAAATGTTCCAAAAGGGAGCAAATGACACTACACTCAGGAGTTACATCTTAGATATGCATTCAAATACCCCAATTGTTAACAAAAATGTATCTTATTTGTGCATCAGTCAGCTGTAGATCCTCAAATCATCTCTGAATTGGTGCTAACACTGTCCTTCCTTCTGGAGGGTGGCTACTTTTGTTCCCCATGGTCCCTGTGTGCGATGTACAGTAGTCACCGCTCCAAGCTCACTCCCGTGATGGACTACAATCTCATGTTTAGTTAACTAATTTGTATGGAGATTGTAGTCCATCACAGGAGTGATATTGGAGTTGTGGCTACTTTACAACACACACAGGGACCATGGGGAACAAAAGTAGCCACCCTTCAGAAGAAGGACAGTGTCAGCACCAATTCAGAGATGATTTGAGGACCTACAGCCGAGTGATACACAAATAAGATATATTTTTGGTAATAGTTAAAGTACCTGAATACATTTTTAAGACTTAAAGTGACATTAAAGTAAAAAAAAATGTTTCCCTCCCCCAATGTTAATTACATTTTTGTGATTAGTTAAGGTTCCTGAAGGCATTTGTAAATGTTACTCCTGAGCTGAGTACCCAGGATACTCCTGGAAAACACCATCTATATGGTGATGGGAGGTCGCTGTTAGCAACAACAACATGCGCATACTTCATCTTGAGAACTCTTACTCCTAGGTGTGTGGTCCTACCATTCCTGAAGTTTCTACCACAAATCTGCCTGCTGATCTGCTTTCTTTTATTTTGCCTTTCAGATATTTATTTCTTATGAGGCTTTCCCAGTCCATTGGTATCATTTCTCCTGACCCCAGCAACAGAACCATCAATCATAGTTTGAATCCTGCCTGTTGTCACTTGTGTTTTCTAAGTGCAACATCGTTACTTTGATTGTATTACATTGTTTCTCCTACAATAATGCACTAGATCAGTGGTTCTCAACCTGTGCACCTCAGGACCCACATTTGTCGGTCATTAAGTCGCGACCCAAGTCGCACTGCAATGGAACGCACGGCAGTGTGGGCTGCTGTGCTGTGATGGAGCTCCATCCATATGTGCAATGCTTGTAGAGCTCCCAATGCGCGCCTGTAGAGGTGCCGGGAGCCAGAATGTGATGTTACTCCGGTCCAAGTACCGCTATAGGACATGCAACGGGCTATAAGCAATGCATTTATGAATGGAGCTCCCTCGCTGTCATACCCCCAGCCCACCCCACCCCCACCCTAAGCTGACACTGGGCAGTAGGGCTGCAACAACTAATCGACATAATCGATTATAATCGATTATTGAAAAAGTTGTCAACTTTTTCAATCATCGTTTAATCGGCTTCCGATTGGTTGGCCCTGTTCACGGCTCCACACACGCTGCGCGCCACACCTCCTCCCCACCTCACGCTCGCCGCTGCCAGGCTGCATCCACGCTCCACCTCCTCCCCGCCCGCCCCCATGCACGATCGGCACAGGGATGCGGGGAGAATAAGTAACGAGGAGCAGGTGTGGGCGGATGACAGCCGCTGATAGACCGGCCCCATCTCAGAAACAAGTTGCTGGAAGACTGCTCAGGTAAGCCTGCACTTTCCCTCACATGGTGCTCTATAATGTATTGCTGGGATAGTGAGATTAGTATTCCTCTATAGCTGTATATTATACAGAGCAATGTACCATCAGCTATAGAGGAATACAAATCCCAGCAATACATTATATACTGTATGTATTATGTATTGCTGGGATTTGTTGTATTCTTATATAGCTGGTGGTATTCTGCATTGCGCTGTATAGAGGTCTACAAATCCCAGCAATAATACATTATACAGCGCAATGCAGAATACCACCAGCTATAGAAGAGTACAACAAATCCCAGCAATAATACATTATACAGCGGTGCAATGCCGAATACCACTAGCTATAGGGGACTACAAAACCCAGCAATACATTATACAGCAATGCAGAATACCACCACCTATAGAGGACTACAAAACCCAGCAATAGTACATTATAGCTGGCGGTATTCTGCATTGTGCTGTATAATGTACTATTGCTGGGTTTTGTAGTCCTCTATAGCCGGTGCCATTCTGCATTCATTGCTGTATAATTTTACACTTTTCATTTCACTATATTGCACACCACACTTTTTTTTCTTCTTTTTTATGTCCACTGCTCCAAGCTTGCTCCTGTGCTGGACTGCAATCTCAATACAAACTAGTAGTCCCATCACTGGAGCCATTTTTTAACATTTATTTTCTTATCCAATTAATCGAATTTAATAATCGGCTAACTAATCGATTTTGAAAATAATCGTTAGCTGCAGCTCTACTGGGCAGCATATTTTGAATGGCTGTTCGGTGTGAGAATGGACAGTGCTACACTAGGGTGAGGCTAAGGAGCATGTAGGGACCCACTGAAAACAGGGTAGCGACCCACCAGTTGAGAACCAAGGCACTAGACGGTTGTGTCCACGCTCTACTTTTTCTTTGTTATAAGACAGATAAATAAGGGGACAAATATTTTATGGTTAATGCTGCAGGGTAAAAATGAAAATGAATATACAGATTCTTGCCATAACTGCTTCTCTTTAAATTGACACTAAAGGGCAAAAAAAATTAAAAATTTAAAAAAATACTACCAGGCAGTGGCGTAACAATCACCATAGCGACCCAGGCGGTTACTATGGGGCCCCGGGGGGCCGGCAAGGACATCTGCCTGATGCTGTGTGGGCCGCCTGAGTCGCTATGGCATTTCAGGCTGCTGGCTGTCACTGGCGGCTGTGAGGAGAAACACGCAGCCATTCACATATGAAGCGGCGCGTACCTCCTCACAGCTGCTGTATCGATGACAACCGGCAGCTTCGGGGGAGGTGGCTGGGCCAGTCATCGGCAGTGATGGAGGCAGGCCCAGCGATCGAGGAGGCAGGTCTTAGCGATGAGGAGGCTGGCCTGGCTATCAAGGAGGTGGGGCCCAGTGATGGAGGAGGCGGGGCCCGCAAGCAATCACGTAGGAGAAGGAGGTGGACAGAGGATTGGCCAGACAGGTAAGAGGGCTTGACCGCCCGCCTGAGACCCTGCAGAGCTCACCATAGAGAGTCTATCAGGTGGGCTGTTTGGGTTATCAGGTGGACTTATCTAGAAAAATCACAGGGCCCCATACAAGATGTTGCTATGGGGCCCTGTCTAGTTACGCCCCTGCTACCAGGTAGTGTTGTTTTTTTGGTAGAAGAGATTTTGCATGCTTTTTCGTCATAAAAAAATCTGATTTACTTCTTGGGTAGAAATGTTATTTATGTACACTGCCTCCGGCGCATGTGCGGTGTCCACTCCCATCCCAATCATGGCATCTGTAATCCATTGACAACAACTAGGACATCAGAAGTTAGGAGCCAGCTGTCATTTTCAAGGGCATTGGCTACCCAGCTTCTGAGATTTGTCCGGCCCTGCAATAGAAGCATCCTAAAATATTTCATTGATATAAAAAACATTAACAATTTACCTTCCCAGTTCACATCGAACATGTCAGAAACCTTCGCCATTTTCTCGTCTGCAAAATACAAAAAGAGTAAAAAATATTTCACGTATCATCAGGGGTGTGGGCATTTTTTTTTTTAAAACTACTAATCCAAGGACTAACGCTACTTGTCATAATGCAAAGAATTTATTTTACCGTGATAAGCGCCGCTTCTCATTGGCTCAGCGCAGTCAGGTCATTTAAATAACAGTTCTATAGTTGTGTTATGTCTACAGTCTCACGTTTACTTTACCCATTTGTATTGAGATTGTAGTCCTTCACAGGAGTGAGCTTGGAGCGGTGACTACTTTATAACACACAGGGACCATGGGGGACAAAAGTAGCACCCCTCCAGAAGGAAGGACAGTGTCAGCACCAATTCAGAGATGATTTGAGGATCTGTAGCCAAGTGATACACAAATAAGATTTTTGTTAATAGTTAAAGGTGCTTGAATGTATTTTTAAATCTAACTCCTGAGTTTCATGTCAGTGTTAGTGCTGGAACGCATGCATTGCCATGTGTTGGGGTGCTGCATCAGAATTCAATGTGCTACCTAACGCAGCACAAATTAAGTGCAGGCCGCATTTTGCTGCATTGGGACGCCATTTAAAATGCCGCCCCATTAAAGGGCATTACTGCAATCCGCATGTGTGAACAGGTCCTAAGCCTCCACGTTTCTCTCATTTGCTCAAGTGGATGTAAAGTGGACTGATGTAAAATTGCTGCTGGGCGTGTCTTCTTTTATACCAGGAGAGATTGTGTGCAGTTGGTGTATACAATGAATGAATTTCAAACAAAATTGATTTCGGAACGTTTGTTCGACTTTCCAATCGTTCCAATTGGTGATCGATTTCGACAAAAATGATGAGAACATTTGAAGGAGCATGTTAAAAAAAAAGTTCATCGAACCAAATTCTAACAGTTAAACTCCAAAATTAGGTGTTAAATCAAAAACAAAAATCAAAGGAAATGTCAAACAATTGTCTAGTCTGTGACGGCATCATGGAATGTTCCAACAAGATATTTTGTACAAACGTTTGTTCAAAAACCTGCCCGTGTATACCCTACTTGAGTCTCTTCTACTAAAACTCCCCTACCCGCCTGTCAGCAATTTTATTTTTTTCTGTGCACCGAGCCACAAATGCCAAGATGAAGTAACTCCCGGCCAATCAAGAGGCGGAAGAAAAGCCGCAGAAGATGGCAGCATCTGTGTCGGAGGGGAGAACGGACGATGGGCAGGATTTACATCATGCCGGCCAATCAAGAGGCTGAAGATGCCGAACCCGGAAGAAGAGCCGCAGAAGATGGCAGCATCTGTGTCGGAGGGGAGAGCGGACGATGGGCAGTAATTACATCATGCCGGCCAATCAAGAGGCTGAAGATGCCGAACCCGGAAGAAGAGCGGCAGAAGATGGCAGCATCTGTGTCGGAGGGGAGAACGGACGATGGGCAGTAATTACATCATGCCGGCCAATCAAGAGGCTGAAGATGCCGAACCCGGAAGAAGAGCGGCAGAAGATGGCAGCATCTGTGTTGGAGGGGAGAGCGGACAAAGCAGCACTGGAGGAGATCAGTTACAAGGCTCATGATGTGCTGAGATGCTGTGCATACAAACACATTATGACAAACACCTCCGGGAGGGCTTAAAAAAAACAACAACAACAACTTTAAACTAAAAACTCTTGTCAAGACATTGTTAGTATCATATAGACTGGACAAGGATCAGACTCTCTCAACCAGCGTGCCACGTTGCCCCAGATGTGTCTTGTAGGTTCCTCGGGGGTGCCTCATAATGTTTGCATATCATCACATTACCACGGTGCAGGTGGGCCGGCTGTCATCACCATGGAAACAAATGACACTAATCCAGGAGGGTGGGAGCCAATCAGAAAAGGACAGAAGCTTGCACCAGCCCAGCTACGGCTTCTGATGTGATGGAAGGACTCTGATGTGAAGATGGAACTCATGTAAAGAATGATCCCCCTTTAAAATCCAAACCAGACACCCATCTCGAATAAGGATCTAGTGGATCGATTGGAAAGATTTTGGAAGGACTCCATGTCATTTTTTTAAATTTTATACTAGGGATGCATGGATACCAGTATCAGTACCGGTACTGTGCACTTCCACGTGTGTACTCGTGAGGATGCCCCGATACTAAAGGCCGATACTGGCCCTCTACATTTTTAAACAAGAGCGGCTGCCGTAAGGTCCCGTGCTTGCTGGGGACCTCGGCCCGCCCTACCTTGCCACCTCCCCCTTTCCCACTGCAAGACCCAGAAGGCCGCCCTGGTGAGACCGTGCACAGCCTTCTGAGGTGCCGCACAGCCCTGGTGAGACCGTGCACAGCCTCCTGAGGTGCCGCACAGCCCTGGCGAGACCCCACACAGCCCCCTGAGGTGCCGCACAGCCCTGGTGAGACCCCGCACAGCCCCCTGAGGTGTCGCACAGCCCTGGTGAGCCCCCGCACAGCCTCCTGAGGTGTCGCACAGCCCTGGTGAGACCACGCACAGCCCTGGTGAGACCCCTGTGTATATGGGAGTGTATTATACTGGCATCGCTGTGTATATGGCAGTGTATTATACTGACACCTCTGTGTATATGGCAGTGTATTATACCTACACCACCGTGTATATAGCAGTGTCTTATACCGACACCTCTGTGTATATGACAGTGTATTATACCGACACCTCTGTGTATATGACAGTGTATTATACCGACACCCCTGTGTATATGACAGTGTATTATACTGACACCCCTGTGTATATGACAGTGTATTATACTGACACCCCTGTGTATATGGCAGTGTATTATACTGACACCCCTGTGTATATGACAGTGTATTATACTGACACCTCTGTGTATATAGCAGGGTATTATACTGACACCCCTGTGTATATGGCAGTGTATTATACTGACACCTCTGTGTATATGACAGTGTATTATACTGACACCTCTGCGTATATGACAGTGTATTATACTGACACCCCTGTGTATATGGCAGGGTATTATACTTACACCCCTGTGTATATGGCAGTGTATTATACCGACAGCTCTGTGTATATGGCAGTGTATTATACTGACACCCCTGTGTATATGGCAGGGTATTATACTGACAGCCCTGTGTATATGGCAGGGTATTATAATGGCACCTCAGTGCAGCAGTCTGCTCCTATCATTGCCCCCTCCTCACGCACGTTCATAGTGACCCCGGTACCGACCGCTCACCGTACCTTGCTCTATGACACCCGAAGCTCCACCGACCTCCTGCACCCCAATCACAGGAGACTGAGAAGAAGGTGGGACGTAACGTGTGACGTCAGAGTAGCTGCACGTTCACCACACTCGTACGTCTGTGCGTGCCGCGTCACTATGGGGGGAGGTGTGTCTCCTCAGCGTGATGATGCTCTCGGTGTGTAGCTTTCGTCCTGTGTGGGGCCCCTACCAGTTTCATGCCGCGCTCTATGAATGAATTACCGAGGCACTGCACGTGTCAGGGCTTTGGTTATTAGATATAAGCAGCCTAAATGTATTCAGCTTTTTATAGGGATACCAATTAACCATAGATGTGTGGGTTGTCTGCAGAAGGGCAGACTGAGGGTGCTGTGTGGAGGAGGGGTAAGGGAAATGTAAAAAAATTTTAACGCATATTTTGACATTGAAGCTGCCGCTATTTTATTTTATAGGTGTTCTGCTCACAGATTTTGATGGTTGGTAAATGCATTTTAGGAGCTTGTTCACACCATTGCGGGGCGTTGATTGGACAGTTCTGTGCAATTGATGCACAATACTGTGTGGTAATTGCAATGCTTTGCGAATTAAAAAAAAAGCGCATGTGCAATTTTTTTTTCCAGCTGCAACACAATATTGCGGCACGGTCGATATAATATACATCACTTCCCGGTCCAGTGATGGGAAGAGAGATTAGCGGCTGTGAGCTGATCGTTGCAAGAGACCCGCCAAGCCTGACCCGGGGACAGCGGTGCCCGGGGAAAGCGACGGCGGCGCCACACGTTACAAACAATCCAGCAGCTGTGTAGACGCCGGATAGCTTGTACAGTAACAGCCATCGCTGGCTGTTAAAAACGAAACCAAGAACACAACTGCTCCAGCAGCTGTGTTCTTGTTTTAACCACTCCTGCGGCCCCTCGTCTGTAGACGTACTGCGTCCCGGAAGTGGTTAATTATCTCGATTGTGCAACTAAAATATTTTTTTTTCAGTTTTAACGCTGATAGACCATGTAGATTGTTTTTCATTGCAGGCCCACTGGTGAGTGGTCTGGGTAAGTTTTAATGTTTGTACTGTGTAAAGCCCTTCCATGTGCACTTTACATTAAAGGCTAGTAATGCATTGATGACTGTTTGCCATTTTGTTTCACTCCATGGATTTGGTGTGGGGACACACTGGGGGGCTTCAGCTGCCATTGTAATGTACATAGGTTCTGTTGTGTCCCTATACCTTTAAGAAGGAATAGGCTACCTCTAGGCGTACCTGAACCCAATTCCTCCTTTGCTATATATGCTCCAAGATGGAGGCTCTCATAGATTAGAGTGAGGACCACACTACACAGAGAAGCCTTGACCTGGGATGGCGACCTCCTGAGTGACTTCCTGGTACCTAAAAAGGCACCTACATATACATCCAGTGACTGGAAATCCTCCTCCTGGGGATGACTTGGATGATCATAGACAGGCTAATAAAATGTCCTGTACAAAGGCATGAAGACTTTCAGCACATACATAAGGTCAGGTGTTGGAATCACTCTATATGGCACAATAGTTAAATAAGTTTCTTTGATGACTAGCACCGGAAAGTCTTCCAGCTGAGTTGATTCGAATGGCAGAAACCTAGATAAGCCCCATAGAGGTTGATATAGTAGCTCACTCGGAAGCTGAGAGATACCTCCGGATAGGAGGTTCTGCTAATTGAGTTTCAGGTATACTAAGAGTGCGGAAACCTGTACCTTCAAGGTTCTAAGTGCTAACGTTTTGTCTTCACCTTACTGGAGAAGATCCATAATAGTTGCAACTGAGGGACAAGAAATCTTCTCACACCAGGAAGAGAATATTTACCTGGTTGGAAAAAAGTTTGCGGGGCGACTCCAAGAATTTTAGCTGATTTCCTTACAAGGACATACTGGCTGTCTGAAATCCTTTCCCACTGCTGACAAAATAGGAAAAGCCCCCCACCACCTCCTTTCTGGCATCATTTGGTATCTTTGTTAGTAGACTCTAGAGCAGTAAAGAGCAAGCCTCCTTTAGGCTTTGACTTGTTAAAGGGGCACTTCTTGTTTTGCTCCTGAGGCTTATTGGCTTGTTTGCCCTTGTCCTGTGAGTCATGAAAAACCTTTTGCTTTTCGGCACTCTCTTTTCAGGGAACCTTTTACCCTTTTCACATCATCTAGACAGAACATCATCCAACCCAGGGCCACCCAGCAAAGTGCCTTTGAAGGACGACCCATATAGTTTAGACTAGGAGGTTAAGTCACTATTCCAAGATGTAACCAAATGGCCCTTCTAGCTGAATTCAGCAAAGCGGCTGATCTAGTGGAAGCTCTGACTGACTTAGGGCGTCCACACACCTTATGATAATCGTGGGAAATCCCGCGATCGTACGAGTATCGTAAGGTGTGTGGAAGCCGTGCGACCTCTACTACTGTAAGGTTGCACGACTTTTAACTTACGAACATGTTTGAAGACCCGCCGTGTTCGGCGGGTGTGTAGCATGTTCGTAAGATAAAAGCTGGACGGGCCGGTGTGCGCAAGCGCACACTGCCCGTTCGGCATTGCGGTCATCGGAAGCCCGCCCCTCAGGGGGGCGCAGCTTGCGATCATCGCAAGTACGATCTGCCTATGCAAGATAGGCAGATCATACGTTTTTTTAAGTACCTTACAACCAGCAGGGCGGGATGGGACGTTTAAAAACGCCCACCCGCATTCAAGAAGCCTCTGTGTGGCCGTTTAATTACAACCACCGGACAGCAGGTGGTTAATTAACATTGGGGGGGGAGGGAGACATTTGTTTTACTTTAATGTCACTTTAAGTCTTAAACATTTATTCAGGTACTTTAACTATTACCAAAAATTTATCTTATTTGTGTATCACTCGGCTGTAGGTCCTCAACTCATCTCTGAATTGGTGCTGACACTGTCCTTTCTTCTGGAGGGGGGCTACTTTTGTTCCCCATGGTCACTGTGTGTGTTGTAAAGTAGTCACCGCAGCAAGCTCACTTCTGTGATGGACTCCAATCTCATGTTTAGTTTACTAATGTGTATTGAGATTGTAGCCAATCACAGGAGTGAGCTTGGTGTGGTGGCTACTTCACAACACACACAGGGACCATGGGGAACAAAAGTAGCCACCCTCCAGAAGGAAGGACAGTGTCAGCACCAATTCAGAGATGATTGGAGGATCTACAGCTGAGTGATACACAAATAAGATACATTTGTATTAATAGTTAAGGTACTTGAATGAATTTTTAAGATTTAACTCCTGAGTTTAGTGTCACTTTAAACT